CTCCTTCTCCCTTCTGCTCTTTCTAAAATCAATAAAAACATGTACTTTGATGGATTAAAAAAATTTTTTTAAGAAAGGGGGAATGTTAATATAATGCATGTCCTTATAATAAAAAATAGTAACAATAAGTGTAAAATAGTAGCTTAATAATATTATATTAAAGGATTATATTATATAAAATAGTAAAATAGTATTGTCATATGTAATTATATATAATAATATAATCATATATAAGATTATAATGTTATATATTAGAAAATATGCTGGTATAACTATATATTACTTTATTATAGTTATGTCTTATATAATCATATAAGGCAATCCTATATAATAAAAGCATAGTATGCAAATTGTCCCCTCGACTGGGAGTTTGACCAGGGGGCAGGGCCAGCCAGGGGAAGGGAGGGAGGCCCTGGAGGTGGCAGGTGGCTGGGGGAAGGGAGGAAGGCCCCAGCGGGGGGCGAGGGGGAGCGGGGAAGGAAGGGAGTACCCAGCTGGCAGCCAGCAGCCACTAGGGACCCTACCAGTGCACCAATTTCATGCACTGGGCGTCTAGTATTTTTATAATAATATACTGTTATTATAATAAGATTTTTAAATAAAAATTAATAATGTAAATAAACAAAGAGGAAGACTAAATAAAAAACTAACAGAAATACTTACTTGAAAAGAGAGGCAGAGAAAAGGGTGCTGAGGACAGGACTAGAAGCTGGATTGTTCTCTCTGAATTTACCTTGTCTTACAGGTTTGAATTTGGAACCCATGTAAATGTTTTATGTGGTTAGAAAAAGAAATAAACCAATAAAAATAAAAATAAAAGCAATCCTAAAAAAGCAAGAATAAAATGAAGCCCACAAATCTAAGAGTGTATTGTGCTGATCAGACCACTTCATGTGATTTTAAAACACAGTGATATGACCGTACATTCTTATTAGTATATATGCTAAGGATAATATAAATACAAAAGAAAATCTACATTATTAATGTTATTATGAAACTATTGTAGGTGTAGCAAATAAGTAATAAGGGTTATGTCATTAGGTGCCAGTAAAAAAGAAAAAAGATTCTAAAATAAGAAAATCAAAGAAGTAAAAACTCAGAATTTTTACATTTGAACTGGAAGTATCAATACAAACTTATATATTCTTTTAAGTAAACAACCCCTCCCCATTTATATAGTTATATCAACAGAAAATGCCTAGAGGAAATGACACCACAGCAGCAATAAGCACTCCAAACACAACTGTGGTCTCAAACTACCATAACCAAGACTCCTGGAGAAATGGCTGATTCCAGTTCTGGACAGGAAATAAGCCAGGGGAAGCAGGAGCATCTTTTGAGAGCAGAATGTAAGGAAGCTTCTAAAGAAGTCATGTCAGTGCTCACTTCAGCAGCACATACACTAAAATTGGAATGATACAGAGAAGATTAGCATGGCCCCTGCACAAGGATGACACGCAAATTTGTCAAGCGTTCCATATTTTAAAAAAATAAAATAAAGAAGTCATGGCAAAGGACATGAGAGCAAACCCTAAGCGGCGCCCACTAGCTAAAGATGAGACAAGTGAGCATTAAAAAAAAAGTCCTGGCCAGTGTGCGCAATGGTTAGAGCATCAGCCTACTCACCAGAGGGTCTCAGACTCAATTCCCTGTCAAGGGTGCGTACCTCTCTCTCACATAAATGTTTCTCTCTCTCTTTCTTTCTCTCTTTCTCTCTCTCCTCATCCCCTCCCTTTCACTCTATAAAAAAATCAATGGAAAAAATACCCTCACTCCTCAGGTGAGGATTAAAAAATAACAATAATAAAATGTTAAAAGCCCAACGGATAGCAAAATCAAAATCTGTGCATTCATAATAGTACTAAAACAAACCCAACCCATTCTCCTGTAAACTGGCAAGAATTCAGCATTTATCCTGCTTCCCTCATACAATTGGGTACCAAGTTATAGAGGATGAAGGAAAGTTCTGCCTTATAACTGAATCTCAGCTAATTGACCAAACAGAACAGATCTAGACAATGATCCCTGAAGGCTGCAAAACAGGTGTAAAACTGATGAGGAACCTGACATCAGGTGCACAGTATATGTGTCCACTGTATGATTTCATATCAAAAGAAAAACCTAACACCACCTACCTCCTGCCCAGACGAAATGCACCTGTGAATTCATCCTACCAAAACCTGACCTGAATCTGACCATGCATCCAGTGGAACTCTGTGCAATGACAGAGTGTTATATATCTATGCAGTCCATGTGGGATTGAACAGTTGAAATGTAGCTAGTGCAACTGAGAAATTGAACGTGTACCTTTACTTACTTGTAATTCATTTTAATGTAAATAGCCTTAGGTGATGCGGGGCTGCCTTATTAAACAGCACAGCTCTAGATCTAACAGTCCCTGATCAAATTCCTCGATTGCCTTAATACCGTCTTTTAAAACAATTTGTTTCTGATCACAGGTCCAATCTAGAATCACACAACGCAGAAAGTGTGTTAGGAGGACAAAGATATAGGGGTAGTAGGACAATGGTACTGGATTGTGGCAAAAATCCAAGGGCAAATTGGGCTCTGTGGAAACAGGCCACCGTAGCCCATGCTCCTTTTTGCGGAGGTGGCACAAGATGTGAATATTCCATCTATGTTTGCGCAGACACGCCAGCAGGGAGGAGGACAGGCTCTGGGGCCGGCGGGGGGTAGCACTCAAATTCCAAGCCCTCCACTTAAACTCGTTCTTCAATTTCCTCATGGGTGATAGAGGGATAAATGCAGAATCTACCTCATAGGGCAATAGAGAAAATTCAATCAGTTCTTGAAAAGCACTTAGAACAGGATCTGGCACAGAGTAAGAGCTTAATAAATGTTACTTATTAGTCCCTTTCCTTTGCTGCCTAAGAGGTAATGTAGCCAATTTATTTGTGGAAGTAGGGAGTGGAAGGGCATCAAACAACCCACCTTGTTTCCCTCCCTTGCAGACAGTCCCCACTCCTTCCGCCCCAGAACAAGTAGTCTGTTCAGGCATTGCTAAAGTCAAAAATGAAGGAAAACAATAAGGATTTTTCTGTTTTGAGATAGTTTCTCAATGGGAAGTCCAGGCTAGTGATGGTGGGGTGTTCCATGGCCAGCTCCAAGGAACCAGAAACTTCCACGATTGTGCCTGCCACTCCTGGCTCTGCCATTTGGCATTGCTTCCATCACACTGGCCATGCTTCAGACCCTGCGGTGAGTAGCCACCCTGTCACAAAGGCACAGTTGAGAAAGGGAATACACACTGCCCTGGCCGGGTAGGTCAGCTGGTTAAAGCATCGTTCCGAGATTAGGGGTTCGATCCCCAGTCAGGGCGCATACAAGAATCAATCAATTAATGCATAAATAAGTGGGACAACAAATTGATGTTTCTCTCTCTCCTTTCTTTCTCTCTAAAATCAATTTTAAAAGGGGTGGGTGGGTGGAGGAAGAATGCATACTTTACAGACAAGGAATCTGAATCTTAGAGAGGGAAGAACCCACCAGAGGTCATACAGGCAACAAAAGGCCTGGCCATCATGCTCTCTCTCCTGCCCCATTAACATCTTTCCTTCACCTGGTCCTCTAGTCTAAGGAACTTCTAATATAGGAGAGGTACATGAGAATTACATAAATTACCGAAAGTCAAAGTTAAGTCAGGGGCCTCCTACATGTTGTTTGACAGAACTTGGCTGACCAGAGGTGCAAGTAGACCACAAAGAGCCTCTGGAACAAAAATATTCCTGCAAAGACTGATTAATATCTACTCAACCATACCTTATCATTTAGCCATACCATAAAAGAAAAAACAAACCACAGAATATACCTTGTAAAGGTTAAAGTTAATCCCATTTTTCCACTCTTTATTTCCCCATACCAATAATTTTCCATAGAAGCTACAAACATATACTAGTAAGCTCAACCTCTGGAGACAGGTAGGGGTCTCTCTTCCTTCTCTTTTAAGGAGAATCCACCACCCTGCCTGTGGAGTAGCTCTTCTTGCTTGTCCTCTCTGCTCAACAAAATTGCTTCTACTCTAACCTCCTGTCTGGCTCGTATCCTGAATTATTTCTTGTGCGAAGCTAAGAACCCTCTTGGCTCGGGTACCCTTTAGGAAGAGAAATAGCAAGATCCCATCTGACAGCCAGGGCTCTGCTCAAGAGCATGGTACATGGAAACATCAGAGACTTTGAATGATGCCTCATCTTCCTCCACCCTTTACACCCACCTTTATTCAGGCACGATCCTTCCCAATGGGTGGCCTGGCCTGCTTCCTCCCAGCCACACCCTGAGCATCTCCACAAAGACCACCTTCTTACCTGATCAAAATCCTGCAGTGGTGTCCCAACCCCCTGAAAACAAAACCCAGTGTCTTTACCAGCTCTTTTCCTACCTAGACCTCCTCACCTGTGCCTTCCTGCCTCTTTCTCATTCGTCCCAGCTATCCAAGGGACATCCTTCATAATCACTCTGGTTAGCAGCCCCTTTCGCATCTCTTTTATTATTTGAATATTATCTCTATCAAGGGCAACACGGTTCATTTATTTATTTGTTTGTACGGTCTAGCCTCCTCCCCAATGAAACTTAATCTCCATGAAAGCTGGGCCCAATCCGTTTTATTCTTCACCTTTTTCTCACTGTCTAGGGCACAGGCCTGAACCCGCGGAGGCCAGGGGAGGGGGCAGTTTTGTCCCTCGGCGGCTTCTGTAAGAGTCATTCCCCAAAACCAAGTCCTCAAGGACTGTCCACCGTCACCAGCCCGACCCTGCGGCGCCCACTCCCCGCCCCGCGCGCGAGGGGTCCCGGCGGCTGCAGTCTCTCACCCTGTCTCCGCGGCCACGTGGGAAAGGTGGGTCTCGCGTCTGTCACCGGCGGCACCGCCTCTGGCCCCTTCTGGCCGCCGTCAGCGCGCAGGCTCACTGGCGCCGCCTCGCCTCGGCCTTCCCAGCTAAGCGACCCGCACCCAGATGGGCCCAGGTGACTGCGAGCGCAAGTAAAGCCAAACAGGCAAACTGGTGTGCGGCGGCGGTGCCTCGGCCGCTTTTTCCAGGCCGCTCTCCGTCATCGGCGCCCCCTGCAAGGAAGTTTTTCGCCTTCGGAGCCTCCGCCCTGAAGAAGCAGGTAGCGCGCCGGTACGGGAGGGCGCGGCAGTGGCCACCTGCGCTTGCGCACCAGGGCGCGGGGTGGACCTGCGCCTGCGCGGCGCAGCGCTGCAGGGACCGTTGGCTCATTTGCATGTCCCCGCCTCGCGCGGCGGCGGCGGCGGCGGCGGGGGCGGCGGCGAAGGTGGTGGCTGAATCTCAGGCATCGGCGGGGGCGACTCCGCACTCGGTGGGCTCGGGGTGAGGCCCGGCCCCGCGCGTTGTCGGTGGGTGGGTCCCGGGGGCTCGGGGCTCGGGCTCGGCCCCAAGCGGGCCCCGTGTCCCCGCGATTGCGCCGCGGGCTCGGCCCTCGGGCTGCACGACGGCCGCGTCCCGGACGGGTCGGCCTGGTGGGGCGGTCTGCGGCCTCTGGGGCCCGAGGCCCCCTTTTCTTCGACCTCGGAGGCCGGGAGCAGGCGGACCGCACCCGAAAGGATTCATTCGTTTCCTCGCTCATTCATTCCACCCGAGCCCGAAGCGGCCTTTCGCGTGAGGCGATCACGGAGGCAGGGCGCTGTCTACGGCCCTTGGCCATTTTTAATGGGTTCAGTCCCTGCAGCAACCCCCATCATTGGCTGCCCCATCATTGATCCGTAGATGGTCAAATCGGAGGTATAGAAAGGTTAGATCGCTTGATTTGGTCCCGGGCCGCCTGGCCCGAAGACCCTTCCCTTCGCCAGTAGGAGAACAAGGGGCGCCCTAGGAAAAAGGACTAAAGGATGGAAAAGGAGGCGATGGTTACAAGGAAGACTTGCAAGGCAGGCGCAGGCTTGGGTCTTGGGTTGGAGGTTTCAACCCAAGTTGGAAGAGATGTCTTGGTGGTTAAGGACGGGCCACCCCGGGATTCCTCCGTGTTGCTTCTTGGCCTTTTTCTATTTAGTCTTCAGGCTTTGTCCCCACTGCTAGTGTTGCCTGCCAGGTTGCAGCCCTGGATGGTTGACCTTGGCTGAGTCACTTAGCTCAAGGCTCCCCTTTCCTCTTCTGGTTGATGTCATTCATAACAGGACCCACTTCATTGGGTTGTTGCAAGTAAATGAGGTCATGGGAGTTCCTTCCCTACAACTGTCACCAGCTCATTGTTACTAGTCAGGGGTTCCTGGAGGGTCGTTGGCTCTGTTTGGAAAACGGGAACAGCCACATCTTTCCTAACTGCCATGTGAGAGGGTTATGCTCCCACTCCCCTGCACTGTTACCCTCAGTTATGCGTGTTGCTTCTCCAAGTCCTCCAGCAACCCCAGGAGATGAGGACTTTTTTTCATAGAGCTTTCCAAGGATTCTGAGGAAATGGTCTTAGAGAAACAAAATCACTTGTCCAAGATCACCATGCTTGTCTTGCTCCTTTTTAGTCAACACACGCCTGTGAGCTTCCTGAGAGCAGAGGCCCCTAGAAATAATCGGACCTTTCTCTGAAGTACCTTGCTGGATTATGGTTACTGCCTCCTTACTTTGAAGATTAGGTGAAATAAAGAGCCGGCTCTCTGAGCATTCGTTGTCATTCTTAGTGTCTTTTTCCCTCTATTACAGGTCAGAGAAACATGGCTACAAGGCGAATTGCACAGGAGACTTTTGATGCCGTGCTACAAGAAAAAGCTAACAGATATCACATGGACCCCAGTGGTGAAGCTGTAGGTGAAGCTCTCCAATTTAAAGCTCAAGGTAAATTAAAGTGCTTGATTGGGAACCGAGGGGGGCGGGTAATGAGGCATTTAGGGTCAGAGCAGGAGGATTTCAGTCCCTATATTCCTATTTGTTAAGGGGAAATGAAGTTTTCTCTGGATCTGCCTGTTAAATCACTATGTAGAAGAAGGTATTATCATTACCAGGAGCTTCTCCCCAGAAAGCCAACCTCACCTAAAGAAAGGTTGTTGAATCAATCTTCTGGCTCCACCCCCACCACCACTGCTCAGGTTTGAGCTCTTACCAGTTCTGGCTTGGATTACTTCAGTAATCTCCTACTGAACAGTCTCTCAGCTTCTGGCTTCATTCCCCTCAAATCTGTCCTGACTACAGATCTATTCACGCCACCCTTGCTGGGCCAAGGCCCTGCTTGGACTCTCGGGGCTTCCCACTTTGGGGTTACATCCTCAGATAAGTGCAGGAGCAGGGAGGTAACAGTGATGTGTGCAAGACTGAAGGGTGGTGTAAGGGGTTGTGGAGCTGCTGAGCATAGGCCCTGCCTGAAAATGTTTCCCTTTGGAAAATTTTGAAACACCATGCCAGCAGAATCAAAAACGGTGCCCACACGATGACAGGATGCCATGGAGGTCCCTCACTACCACGCACAAGGTTCCCAACCCTTACTCTTTGCCTTGGGCTTTGTGTTTCAGTGATACTGTGCCACCTCTCTGTGCTTTGAATCCCTCCTCATCCCAGCTCTGCCTGGTTGATTCCCTCCGGCATGCCTTCTTCAGGAAGCCCCAGCAGGACTTGAGGTTGATTTGGTTGCCGTTCCCGGCCCCAAATACACTGTGTGCTCACTCCTCTGTTATGGGCTGGCCTCCTCCAGGCCTCATCGCTGGGCCTGTGCTGTTTGTTGCTGCACCAGCCCCTGAGCCAGCCTTGGCATGGAGGAGGGTTAGCATTGGTTGAGTGAGTCTTAAGTGCTTGCAGTAGGGATAACTGTTGTTACATGCTTTGGACCTGGAGAAACCATTTGATGGAGTTTTCAAAAATTATATGAGTAGTGCACAGAAACATAGCTGTTATAAAAGATTGGAAGACTTGAGAAATGGTTAAGAGTAACATGTAAAAGTCTTTTTAGCTCCTTTCTTAACTATATTTGCAGTAGTCTATGCATCCTTCAATTTTTTTTTAGCAATATGTAATCCAGAATACTTATGTGTTTATATATATACACACAGAGACATATACCTATATGTACTTATATATACATGTATATGTATATAGGGTGCCCCCAAAAATATATACATACACTTTGTATAATTATAAAGGCAGTGTGTATTAAAATACATTTCATTTTTGAAATTGAGCTATCAGCTGATTTTGTCATATTTTTGGGGGACACACTATATACAGAGACATAAATCTTGGTATCTTTATCTAGAGACTCAAACACCAAAACATACATTGTTACCTCAAGAAAGTTTGGGGAGCCCTAGCTGGTTTAGCTCAGTGGATAGAGCATCAGCCTGTGGACTGAAGGTTCCTGGGTTCGATTCCCGGTCAAGGGCACATGCCCGGGTTGTAAGCTTGATCCCCAGTAGGGGGTGTGCAGGAAGCAGCCAACCCTTGATTCTCTCTCATCATGGATATTTCTCTCTCTCTCTCTCTCTCTCTCTCTCTCTCTCTCTCTCTCTCTCCCCTTCTCCCTCTCCCTTCCATTCTGAAATCAATAAAAATATATTTAAAAAATAAATTAAAAAAAGAGAGTTTGGGGAGGGGTGAACTAGTAACCAAGCAGGTTGCTAGATGGTTCTGGAACCATCTCTTTGTCACAGAGCTGCATGGTTCATCAGTTGGACTTTCTCTGTCCCTGTTCTTCTCTGCACTTTTTCAATGCCTTGGTTTATAAGGCATCAGAAAATCCTGTTGTACAGAAACCAGCCACCACTCTACCTCTAATGCTACCTCCCTCACCACATCATCAGTAGTCATTAATACCTACATCATCCCAGTGGACTCCTTGCTGGAACATCGACATTCACTTTCTTCCCTTTTGGTCTATTGCCTTCACAATAGCCCATGAGATCATTCCTTTGCTCTGAGCCCGTCTGTGGCTTTCCATCTTACTCAGACTATTCCAGCATCCCTTTGAGGGCCAGGCTTGATCTAGTACCTTCCTTCCATCTTTATTTCCCTAAATTTGCTGTATGTTAGAATCATCTGGTGACTTTTTAAAAACCCTGATGTCCAGGTCACACCCCCAAGCTAGTTAGTTAATTAAATCAGGATGCCTGGGGGTCCCAAAGGGACTCCAATATGCAACAGAGTTTGGGAGCTTCCTTCTTACCACTTTGCCCTTCGTTCCCTCTGGTATATTCATTCCCTGCTGGTCATACATCAGGGATTTGTCCCTACACTCCCTCTGCCTAGAAGGCTCCCCCACAGTGTGGTCCCTCATGCCAGGCCTCCCGGTATATTGTTAACTTCAGTGCCTAAAGCAGTGCCCACACACAGTAGGTGCTCGGTAAGTACTGCTGACCAAATAAACTTGGATTTCTATAAAGATGTGGCTTCCTTTGGTTTCACCCCATTACTACCTCATGGCATCTCTCTCTCCCTTTTCTTTTCATTTGACTTTTGACTATCAGGTAATAGATTCTGATTTAAAAGTTAGAAAGAGCCTGGCCAGCGTGGCTCAGTGGTTGAGCGTTGACCTATGAACCAGGATGTCACGGTTCAATTCCCGGTCAGGGCACATGCCCAGGTTGCAGTCTCGATTCCTGGTGTAGGGCGTGCAGGAGGCAGCCAATCAATGATTCTCTCTCATCATTGATGTTTTTTTCTCTCCCTCTCCCTTTCTCTCTGAAATCAATAAACATATATTTTTTTAAAGTTAGAAAGGCACTCTGTACAAAGTCTCCCTGAGGCTCATAGTTTGCTTATGTTCCTACCTTCTTAGAGAGTTTCTTTGTACATGAATAAGCAAATGCAAATATGGCTTCCTATTTTCCTCATTTCTACACAGAGGGGAGAACAAAATCACATATTATTCAGTTCCCATTGTGGCCTCTCTTGATGGCTTGTTTAGCTTCTGCCTTTTCTCTTACCTGCTTTAGTCTCTGTTTTTTTCAGAGGATTCATTGGCCCAGTGGACCTTTCAGAGGGAGTATATCAGCCAGCTTTGGGTCATATGCTCAGCTTGTGGCCCAGTCTGCTGTAGTGGGTAGTGTCAGATGTGGCTTTTGCCTCGGTGACATTATGGGCCGAGAGTTCCTACTAGAAGGCAAGGAGGGTGGCAACCTCTAAAAAAACCTGTGTGCTTCATGATAGAGGTAGGCTCAGTGGATAGTGTCAGTCTGTGGACTGGTCAAGGGCACATGCCTGGGTTGCAGGCTCCATCCGCAGTAGGGGGTGTGCAGGAGGCAACCAATCAATGATTCTCTCTCATCATTGATGTTTCTATTTCTCTCTCCCTCTTCCTTCCTCTCCGAAATCAATAAAAATATATTTTTTAAAAATCCAGGTTATTTGAGGGCCAGACACCCTTCCTGAGTATAAAAAAAAGGGCTTGTAAACCAGATGCCTGCTGAGCAAGGGCAGGAGATCTGAGTGATTAAGGGGCACTGCTACTCAGCCTTGATGCAGTATCATCAAGATAGATGCAGGCCCAGTGCTTGTAGGTCTCTTTTTGAATAAAAAGTAGTAATTCCAGGTTTAAGGAAAACCACACACATTTTAAATAATGGCAACAAATAGGAATTTTTAAAATGCACTCAGGCAGCCCTGACTGGTTTGGCTCAGTAGATAGAGCATCGGCCTGCGGACTGAGGGGTCTCAGGTTCGATTCCGGTCAGGGGCATGTACCTTGGTTGCGGGTACATCCCCAGTAGGGGGTGTGCAGGAGGCAGCTGATCGGTGTTTCTCTCTCATGGATGTTTCTAACTCTCTATCCCTCTCCCTTCCTCTCTGTAAAAAAATAAATCAAATATATATTTTTTTAAAAATGCACTCAGGCAGATAAAGCACTTCAGCTGCTTGGTAGTCTATGGACTGTCCATTTGTACCTTCTGGTCTAAAGTACCTTTGTGTTTCCTTCTGGATTGTTTATTTCAGATCTTATAAGGACACTGCCAAGAGTCAGAGCAGATATGTATGATGACATTCACAGTGACAGCAGATACACTCTGAGCGGATCTGTGGCTCATTCTCGAGATGCTGGGAGAGAAGGCCTGAGAGGTGATGTATTTCCAGGACCTTCCTTCAGGTCAAACAACCCTTCTGTAAATGAAGACAACTACTTTCGCAAAGAATGTGGCCGGGATCTGGAATTTCCCCACCCTGATTCCCGAGATCAGGTCTTTAGCCACCGGAAATTGGGACATTTCCGTTCTCCAGACTGGAAATTTACACTCCGTGGCTCTTGGGAACAAGACCTTGGCCACCCAGTTTCTCAAGAATCGTCTTGGTCACAGGAGTATAATTTTGGTCCTTCTGCACTACTGGGAGACTTTGGGTCCTCCAGGCTGATTGAGAAAGAGTGTTTGGAGAAAGAGAGTCGGGATTATGACGTGGACCGTCCAGGGGAGGCAGACTCTGTGCTCAGGGCCAGTGGCCAAGTCCAGGGCAGAGGCCGAGGTCTAAACATCGTTGATCAGGAGGGTGCCCTCCTAGGAAAGGGGGAGTCTCAGGGCCTGCTTGCACCTAAAGGGGGGGTTGGGAAACTTGTCACACTGAGGAACGTGAGCACAAAAAAAGTACCCACTATAAACCGTATTACTCCCAAAACTCAGGGCACTAACCAAATCCAGAAAACCACCCCAAGTTCTGATGTGACCCTAGGTGCAAACCCAGGGACAGAAGATATCCAATTCCCCCCTCAGAAGATCCCTCTGGGGCTCAATCTAAAGGACATTCGTCTCCCAAGAAGAAAGATGAGTTTTGACCTCATAGATAAGTCTGATGTTTTTTCAAGATTTGGGATAGAAATAATCAAATGGGCAGGATTTCACACCATAAAAGATGATGTTAAATTTTCCCAGCTTTTCCAGACTCTCTTTGAACTTGAAACTGAAACCTGTGCTAAAATGCTTGCCTCATTTAAATGCTCCTTAAAACCAGAGCACAGAGATTTTTGCTTTTTTACTATCAAATTTTTAAAGCACTCTGCTTTGAAAACACCCAGAGTTGATAATGAGTTTTTAAACATGCTTTTAGACAAAGGTGCTGTGAAGACCAAAAATTGCTTTTTCGAAATCATAAAGCCCTTTGACAAGTACATAATGAGGCTTCAAGACCGGCTTCTAAAGAGTGTCACGCCCCTGCTCATGGCCTGCAATGCCTACGAGCTGAGTGTCAAAATGAAGACCCTTAGTAACCCCCTGGACTTGGCCGTTGCCCTAGAGACCACCAATTCTCTCTGCCGGAAGTCTTTAGCCCTTTTGGGACAGACGTTCTCCTTGGCCTCTTCTTTCCGGCAAGAGAAAATCTTAGAAGCCGTCGGCCTCCAAGATATAGCTCCCTCTCCTGCCGCATTTCCCAACTTTGAAGACTCCACTCTGTTTGGGAGAGAGTACATAGACCATCTGAAGGCCTGGCTGGTCAGCAGTGGGTGTCCACTCCAGGTCAAGAAAGCCGAACCTGCGCCAACTCAAGATGAGAAAATGGTTCCTCCTACCAAACCTGAAATTCAGGCCAGAGCTCTGAGTGGTTTAAGTGATGGTAAGGAAAGCGGCAAGTGTTTTTATTTGTTGTGATTTGTTTCTTTTTCATGGGTGGTGTTGTTGGTTTTTGTTTATATGGGTCTTGTTGGGGGGTTTTGTTTTTTTTTGTAATCCTTACCCGAGGATATTTTTTCCATTGATTTTTAGAGAGTGGAAGAGGGAGAGAGAGGGAGAGACACATCAATTGATTGCCTTCTGCACACACCGCTGGGGATGAACTTGCCAGGCATGTGCCCTTGACTGGAAATCAAACCTGCGATTCTTTGGTGCGCGGGCCAGTGCTCCAACCACTGAGCCAGACCAGGCACGGCTCATGGTGGGTGTTTTGTTTTTTGGGTTTTTTTTGGTAATATCTCTTATACTCTTTGAGATTTTACAAGAAGTTCTTTAGCCAACTGAAAACAAATCAGAATTTTAGCAGAAAACTTGCATTGGCTAGTATACATGTCTGTCTGCATTCGTTCCATGAGCATGTATGAGGAATCTTCAACTTACACAGTAGTCTTTAGACACTCCTTTGGGAATCTGATGAAAGCCACAGCCCTTACCATGAAAAATGCACATACAGCCCTTGCCAGTGTGCTCAGTGGTTATAGTGTCAGCCCGTGCAGCAAAGGGTCACAGGTTCGATTCCTGGTCAAGGACAGTATCTGGGTTTTTTTGGGTTTGCTCCCCACTCCCAGTCAGCAAGTGCAGAAGGCAACCAGTCAATGTATCTCTCACATCTATGTTTCTCTCCCCCCAAGACACATTTCCTCCTTTTCACACTCTCTGAAAAGCAATGGAGCCCTAGCCAGTTTGCCTCAGTGGATAGAGCATCAGCCTGCTGACCAAAGGGTCCCGGGTTCAGTTCCGGTCAAGGGCACGTACTTGGGTTGTAGGCTCCTCCCCAGCCCATGCCCTGGTCAGGCTCTTGCAGGAGGCAACTAATTGATGTGTTTCTCTCACATTGATGTTTCTTTCTGTCTTTCCCTCTCTCTTCCACTCTCCCTTTTAAAAAAAAAAAATCAATGGAAAATTATCCTCTGGTGAGGATTAACAAAAAGAAAAAGAAAAGAAAAGCAATGGAAAAAATATCCTCCGACCAGCCAGCGTGGCTCAGTGGTTGAGTGTCGACCCATGAAGCAGGAGGTCACGGTTCAATTCCCAGTCAGGGCACGTGCCTGGGTTTCGGGCTCGATCCCAGGGGGGAGCTTGCAGGAGGCAGCTAATCAATGATTTTTTTCATCATTGATGTTTCTATTTCTCCCTCTCCCTTACTTTCTGAAATCAATAAAAATATTTTTAAAAATATATCCTCGGGTGAAGTTTAACAAAAAGCACCACCAACATATATTTTTAACAATTTTACCTGCGTGTTCTGGAGGTTTCTACTATCCTGCAGCCAAGGTTAAAAAGCTCAGTTCAAACAGCACCACCACCACCACCCCGCCCCCCCTCAGGTATTCCTAGAAGGAGAAGGAAATGCTAGGCACTGTCTCTGAGAAGACCCCAGACTCCTGAAATCACCAAAATCAGCCCCTCCAATGCTGGGATTAAAGGGGATGTAGGAGAGGTCCCAGCCTGGGGAGTTAGGGAAGCCAAAGGGAGGCTGTATTTGAGCTGCATTGAGGGATGGACAACCTGGTTGATCCGGGTGACAGAGTCACCCACTCACTTTTCTAGACTGGCTAAAGGTTGACAGATCACTTAGGTACACCTGATGATCTGCAGTTAACAGCTGGTTTACTGGGGGCGGGGCGGGGGCAATAAGGAGGTAATAGACATGACTCACTGTTTGGTGTTCCTTGTCCCTACCCTACTCCTTAGCTCTCAGGATGACTGCTCTAAGCCTAAACCTCTGAGGGCTCAGGCACATAGGTAGTGGTCATGTCCTCTTTCCTCCTGACTTGGTTTTCCACTTCCATTGCCCCAACCCATTTGTTCCTCAATCTCTTCATTCCTCTATAGACTTGTGGAGCACCTACTGCACTGGCACTGGTAGGTCCCACCACAGGTGCTTGGCTACACCTACTCCCAGAAGCAGGCTCAGGGCCGAAACAGGCCCCCTTCCTCAGTACAGCCCCCAAGTGATGGAACAGAAATTCAGTGTAACAATAATACTGGAGGAAAAAGTCACCCGTAACTTAAAGTTGCTCACCACTGTTCCCTCGTGGTGCTGGTAGGCAGGTGGGTCTGCCGGTATAGTCCTGCTGTATTGAAAATACAGTGGGGCCTTGACTTACGAGTTTAGTTCGTTCCGTGACGGAGCTCGTAACTCAAATTACTCGTATGTCAAATCATAAAGTTAACAAGTGAGACACGTGATGCTGGGCTGATGTTGTGGCGTTCACTGGGACGTTCGCTGTACCAACTAGCAGTGGGGTATCTGAAGCTGGCTCGTAACCCGAATTTTAGCTCGCAACTCAAAGCAAAAAATTGGCCGAGAGATGGCTCGTATCTCGAAAAACTCGTTAGTCAAGACACTTGTAAGTCAAGGCCCCACTGTACTACCACCTACTCTTTGACAAGATTGTCAAAAGCCCTTCCTGTGTTCTTACAGCTCTCACTGCATCATGATATTAACATAAATTATCTCACCTTTCCCTTGATGTTGGACTCATGTTGCCTTTTACTACAGGCTTCTGAGGCTTAGCAGAGCTCGATCCCCTTGTAATTGGCATCTGGTAAGCCTTGGCTATCTGGACAGCTGGTGGACGCACCAGCACTGCCCCACCGCTGTTTTCATTACAGTATGTTAGAAACACTGGGATGACGTCTTTGGTTAATTTGTTCATTATTTCTATTTTAATTTTTATTTTTAAATCCTCCTTTAAAAGGATATAGTCTCAGGAGAAGGATTGCTGGGACCCACTTTCTGGCCCTTGCTATGGTCATTTTCTCTAGAGATGGTTGCAGTGACCAACTTACTGGCATTTGTTTCTGAAAGCTGCTGATTTAGAACTCTTAATTTTCTGTAAAATCATGTACAATTAGCAGTTCTATAAAATGAGAGCCAGTAACAAAAAGAAAGGAAAACAATTTCAAAAAGGAAATTCTTACAAAAACATACAGTTGCAAGATTGATTTATTCTGTGTAGGAGCTCCCACTGATGTTTAAAATAAACTCAAAGCTATAACTCAGACATAGGCAAGAACAGGACAATGCAGCCACTCCACAAAACAAACGAAAACCTCCAGTTCAGGGGTGGCTTTTATTGACTGAGTGAACAAGCAGTCCGTTCTGTCCTGTTAAAACTGGCAAATATCAGAAAACTACACAATCTTATTATTTGAGGACACACGTTCTCCTGTGTTACTGGTGACGTCGTAAATTATAGTCATATTGGAAGAAATTCACACTTTAAAGATGTTTTCATACATCAGCAAATATTTCTGTGATCACCTACTTTAGGGCCATTGACTTTTTTAATTGGGAAATTTTTCTTTGTAAATTTATATATGTATGTTTTCTGGTTACAGAACACATGTATGTTTATATTTTGTAGATAAAGCACAAAGAAAATGAAATCCTGATAAATCCACCACCCACAGATAACATGTTAACTTCCTGGGATATTTTCTTTTTCTGTGTCTCCATATTTATGTGTCTTTTCTTCCCTCCTTACTACTGGGAATCATAATTTAAACAAATGTCTTATATATTTTATACCAAAATACATGTTATCTCTTTATATTTTCCCTTAATATTGTGAACATTCAAGTTAAACGATACACAAGAAGTGGTATGGAGTGCTGCATACCATTTCCTTCTGTAGAACATATACATACGTTACTCTGTAGTGTTATTGTAAACCTGTAACTGTTTCTGCCCTGGTGGTTACGCTGTTACAGCTTTTGGGAGGATATTGTATATATTGGTTTCTAGAATAACACTCTGCTTTCCTCTTTTCAAAGCTGGTCTCTCATGAGTGGGAATTTCAGTTGCTAGTGCCTGCTTAGGCTCCATCCTAAGCCCCTGACTCTGTCCTGGTGTTCCCAGTCACCATGTGGTCCAGAGTTTCTCAGAAAAGCCCTTTTGTGTGTCCTAGCTGTCCCCCAGCGAGCAGATCACAAGGTGGTGGACATCATCAACCAGCTGGTCACACGTGTCGTTGGAGGCAGCCTGTCTCCTAAAGAGAGAGCTCTTCTCAAGGAGGACCCTGCTTACTGGTAGGTCTTTAAATATCAGCCCTCCGAATCCCTGCCGTAGAGCACACAGCAACATTTATGTCGCTCTGAAGGTGCCCAGAGCGAAGGGTAAGGTGTTTATTTTGAGCAGTGACGACCACTGAGAAGAACATTAGGGTGAATCAGGTTCACCAGGGTTCAAGCACCAGCCCTGCTGCAGACCTGCCCTGTGGCCCTCTCTCATTCAGTCTTGGAAGTCTGCATCCCTGCTGTGCTGGCTTAAGGGTGAGCTGCGATATACGTGCAAAGAATGAGTGTAAGATGAGGGATATGTCACAGCAGCTATTGGTGATTTATTGCTACTATTTGTTAAACTGTCTTCCTTTTGCCTTATTGCCTCTTCACATGAATAGAACTTTTTAAAATTAAAATGTTCATCATAAATACAATACTTTCTTATTAGAGTAAATGATATAGTTAAAAGGTCACTGAGCGCCCACCATTTCAGGAGTGTCACCTTCCAAAAATGGAGTCCAGGAGCAATGCCTGTCGTGTGCTGGCAGCAAAATGCTTCCATGGCTCCAGGGTAACTGGTTTGTGTAGCTAAGCCTCCAGGAGCTATGAGGTCCTTCATGGCTGCTGATGACAGAAATGGAGGAGGATTCTACCACCGCTCAAAGCTCCTGGTTGCCCTGCAGTCACTGGGCAAAATGGGTGACTTGGGACCAGCTCTGGATCCTTGGTGGAGCCGACTGGAACCTTCGACAGTAGAGAAGCCATCATGTAGAAAAGAGTTGCAGAGTGTATTTGCAGCAATGATGTGAGCATGCTGGTGTTTTAGCAATGTCCTGCTGTGCCTGTTTCGTTATATAGGTTTTTGTCTGATGACAGTAGTCTGGAGTATAACTATTACAAGCTGAAACTGGCAGAAGCACAGCGGATAAGCCAGACCTCGCCAGGAGTGGGTCAGAAGCCAATGGCTGCAGAGTGTGCAGTCCGGGCCATGCTGTACGCCCGGGCAGTCCAGAGCCTCAAGAAGAGGCTCCTCCCAGGGCGACGGCGGGGGCTGCTCCGAGCTCCAGGACTCCAGGGTTGGAAGGTGAGGAGAGCAACCACCGGGACCCAGACCCTCCTCTCCTCGGGCACCAGGCTGAAACACCACATCCGGCAAGCTCCAGGCTCCTTGCAGGGAAAGCCGCCCCAGCCAGATGGAAATGATGCTGCCAAGGACTGCCTACCAGACTCAGCCGGGCCCTCTCCTCAGGACCCGAGCTCAGAAGCTGCAGGCCCATCCCCCAAGCCAGCAGGAGCGGACGTATCCGAAGCCCCTCAGAGCTCCTCTCCCTGCTTGTCTGCTGACGGTGGGTGCTCACTCGTGTCTCCCTCTGAGCCCCAGTCCTAAATAGCCAGTCTCCAGGGGTCTCTGCAGAGTTGGGATGGCCTCAGTGGTCTGGGCAGTGGGCAGTGGACAGTAGCAATGGTGACCTGGCGAGGGTGGGTGTATGAGATGGTGCTTTCCCTCCTTTTGCTTCCTCAAGAGGGCAGCCTGAGAGCTCTGTTACACTCTTCCTGTCTGGAGGGTTACTGCCCAGTGACTGCTTCCCTACTGCTGACCATCAAGGTTATGCTGTGTGCCTGTGCCTGGGGCTTTGAACTCCTTGATCCATTTCTCTTTGTTCTTGCCCCGTTTACGTTCCATAGGGCCGCGCTGTTCTTATCCTGCCTCTTCTCCCTAGGACTCTATGTTCTCTCCTCAGCATTAGCTGACCTGCAGTTTCTTCTGAAGTCACCAACGTACCCCTTCTGTGTCTTCTAGCTGTTACTTTCTGCTTCTGCAACAGGCCTGCCCCTGACCAATGCTTCTCACTCAGCACTAGATGGAAACGTGCGGGAGGAGGGGTGGGGTGGAATCTACCCAAGTGCTGCTACAGAACAAGCAGCTCCAAACTGTGGCTTCACACAGGAGCTACCATAAGCCTAACCGGGCCCTCACATGTGTTTGTAGGCAGCGGCTGGTTGTCTGAGGCTGGTGAGGTGATCTGGGTGACTGGGATGTGCCTGTCATCCCCCAGCAGCCTGCTGGGGTGGTTCACCTGAGGTTGGTGTCAGGCCTCTGGGAGAGGCAGTGGAGGTGCTCGAGGCACCCGAGCCCAGGACTTCTGTCATACCTGTTGGCTAGCAGGAGTCTTGGGACCAGTCCCGGTTCAAGGGAGAGGAGAGTCCCCCTCTGCTGGACAGAGCTGCAGAGTCCCAGGGCAAAAGGCAAACATGCAGGAGGGGACATGAGGGACTGTCTTTATAATTAGTCTCCACAGCCCCATGATGTCTACACGGGAAGTGGCAGCTCTTACGCGTGACAGTTACTTTGTTTTGTAGTTGACTTGAAGACTATGGAGACTGCAGAGAAACTGGCCAAATTTGTTGCTCAGGTGGGACCAGAGATTGAACAATTCAGCATAGAAAACAGCACCGACAACCCTGACCTATGGTATGTACCCACCACACCCTTCTGGTTTGAGTGTATTCACCCCACAAATCTCCTGAGAGCCCAAAAGGTAGCCTGACAAACGCCTCAGGGGTCACACGGGATAAATTATGACTTCTGCTGAGCTCAGGGCTGGGAGGGAGGAGCATCTGTTCTGGGATATTGAGGGATGGGAAAAAGCTCCCCAGAGGGACATTTAAGCTGGATTCGAAGGCCAAATAGGAGTTTTCCAGGGCAAGAGAGAGAGCTCCCTGGGCAGAGGGGCAGTGTCCCCAGGACCTGAGCAGGGTCAGAACAATGGTGGAGTGAGGGAGGGTGCATCCTCACCCAAGGGCCTGAGGAGGAGGAGGGCACTGCCCCCTGGTCATACTGGCTGCTGTGGGCTGATGAGAATTTGCTGCTCATGGAGTGATAGTGGTCCCTGGTCTAAGTGTGGGCAACAAGCACTTCCATGCAGCGACAGCCTGGCACCCTCGGGCTTGGAGGTGCACCATTATCCTTCCCTTTTCTCAGACTCAGCACACACAGTCAGGGAGTAGCTCTGCCTCTGGGATACAGATTCTGTCCTTCAGGGTTCCTATTACTGAACCATAACCCTTTGGGCTCCCCTCAGAGCTAGTGGGGAGTGTATAGGGAGCAGGTAGGTTTCCTGCTGTGTACATTGTATCCTACAGTCTGCCGGGGCTCTGCCCTGCTCCAATGTGCTGCAGAGTTGTGCCTTAGTCTAATAAAGAATGCAGTTTAAAACTTCACATTAACTAGTGCATTTCTTGGACCCAGAGGTGACCGAGCATGCTCTTCTAGCTTGTTTTGGACCTTGACTGGGCACTGCGCTGAGGGTACATTCTGCTTCTTGGGAGACCCAGACCAGTTGCCTGGAGCACTGATGGCTTTGCAAATGCTCTGCCTGGATCTGCCTTTTACAGCCATGATGACCTCAGGAACTGTCACCTGCAGGCTTCAGAGTGAGGCTGCCTGTGGCATTTAGGATCTTGCCCTGGCAAGGCCAGTGAGGGGGACAGCTCAGTACAGGGAAGCTGGGAGTGTTTCATCAGCCCTTGTTTTGTTAATTCTCGTGTGAGGATATTTTTTTCATTGTTTTTTAGAGAGTGGGAAGGAAGGAGGTGGGGAGAGAGAGAGAGGAACATCAATTAGAGAGAGACATCGATTGGTTGCCTTTCATATACACCCTAACCAGGGCCAGGGATTGAACCTGCAATCCAGGTATGTGCCTTTGACCAGGATTCAAACCCATGACCCTTCAGTGCACAGGCCAACACTCAAACCACTGAGTCACAGCAGCCAGGGCTTTCATCAGTCCTTCCGCCCCATCCCCCATTAAAATTAAAGTTTGCAAGAAAACTGCATCATCCTGGGCACTCGGTACCAACTGGTCTTGGGGTTGTTCCTCACCCTCTACGCAGCCTTTTTGAGCAATGTTTCTCAGAACATGCTGTCCTGGGTCCTACAGCAACATCTGGTGGGGTAATGCATACTGTCCCCCAATACTCATAAAATAGTTTGAAACTTACTACACTGGGCAAGGCCAAAATGCCTTTGTGGGGTTTTTTTCCTTGAAAGATTTATATCTCTGATGTGCTCAGTAGTTTGCTCGAGTTGATTCATTTTGTATGTGTGACTGTGTCATCAATTTGACAGTCAGATTCACTTGTTTCTGTGGATATTCAGTTTTAGAGCCTTTTTTTAATTTAAATTTTTAAAAATATATTCTATTGACTTAAGAGAGGATGGAGGAGGGAGAGAGATAGAAACATCAATGATGAGAGAGAATCATTGATCGGCTGCTTCTTGCATGTCTCCCACTGGGGATCAAGCCTACAACCTGGGCATGTGCCCTAACCAGGAATCAAACTGTGACCTCCTGATTCATAGGTCGACATTTAACCACTTAGCCACACCAGCCAGGCTAAATTATTTTTTTTTAATTCTTACTGGAGAATATGCTTTTTATTGATTTTTTTAAAGAGAGTGAGAGAGAAAAACATTGATTAATTGCCTCCTGTATGCATCCTGACCAGTATTCAAACCCACAACCTATGTATGTGCCATGACCTGGAATCAAACCCACAACCTTTTAGTGTACAGGATGACATTCCAACAAACTGAACCATCAGCCAGGGCAGTTGTTTGGGTTTTTTTTAACTTTTAAAGTAAGTACAGCATTTGCAGTGTTGTAAAATTTATATATATAAAAGGCTAATAGCAAAGTGTCCCCTCAGGAGTTTGACCAGGAGACCGGGAGTTTGATCGATCACTATGATGTGTGCTGACCACCAGGGGGCAGTGCAGAACAAAGGAAGGCCTCGGCTGGTAGCCAGAATAGCCGGCCAGGCCGAGGGACCCTACCCATGCATGAAATTCGTGCACTGGGCCTCTAGTAAAAATTATAATAGGTAAGCTGAGAGAAGTGGGACCGCTGTATGTTACTCACCTATCCACCTGTTTGACAGTATTTGAGGTGTTTTCATTTTGGGATTATTACAGATAAAGCTGCTGTGAGCATTCATGTATAAGGACCTCTGTGGACACCTGCTTTTATTTCTCAGATAAATACCGAGGAGGGGAAAGGCTGGCTCCCATGGTGGGTCCACATTTAACTTTTGAGAAAACTTCCAAACTTCCTTTCCAAGTGACTCCATCATTTTGCCTTTTCAACAGCTTGGGTGAGAGTTCCAGTTCCTCCCTGTCCTCACTAGCACTTGCTAGTGTCCGTCTTTTTAATGTCCCAGTTATGGGAGGGGGCGGGAGTATCCCACTGTGATTTTCATTTCTGAGGACGGATGATGCTGAGCATCCTCTAGTGTGCTCATGTACTTTCCATATCTCTGTAAGTGTCTCTTCAGATCTTTGGCCCTTTCTTTTTACTGGGTTGTTTATTTTCTTAGTAATGAATTTTGAGAGTTCATTATGTTGTGTTTTTTTAAAATTGATTTCAGAGAGGGAAGGAGAGAGATGGAAACATCAATGATGAGAGAGAATCATTGATCAGCTGCTTCCTGCATGCCCCCTACTGGGGATCAAGCCCACAACCCAAGCCTCCTGATTCATAGGTTGACGCTCAACCACTGAGCCACACCAGCTTGGCTCACTGTGTATACTTTTTTTTATTATTATTGATACTTTACAGAGAGGAAGGGAGAGGAATAGAGAGAAACATAGATGAGAGAAACATCGATCAGCTGCCTCCTGCACGCCCCCTATTGGGGATGTGCCCGCAACCAAGGTACATGCCCTTGACCGGAATCGAACCTGGGACCCTTCAGTCCGCAGGCCGACGCTCTATCCACTGAGCCAAACAGGTCAGGGCCACTGTGTATACTTTTTAAGAAATATATTTTTTATTGATTTCAGAGAGAAAGAGAGAGGAAGAGATAGAAACATCAGTGATGAGAGAGCATCATTGATCGGCTACCTCCTGCACGCCCTCCCACTAGGGATCAAGCCACAACCTGGGCATGTGCCCTTGACCAGAATTGAACCTGGGACCTTTCAGTCCATAGCCAACGCTCTATCCACTGAGCCAAACTGGCTAGAGCTACTTTTTTTTTTTTGTATATCCTTCATACAAGTTCTTTATTAGAAATGTGATTTGCATACATTTTCTCCCAGTCTGACTTGACTTCTCATTCCAGCAATGTCATATATATATATTTTTTAATTATTATTATTGATTTCAGAGAGAGAGAGAGAGAGAAAAAAACATCAATGATGAGAGAGAATCATTGATCATCTGCCTCTTGCACACCTCCCACTGGGAATTGAACCCGCAACCCAGGCATATGCCCTGACCAGGAATCAAACCGTGACCTCCTGGTTCATAGGTTGATGCTCAACCACTGAGCCACACCAGCAGGCTCCAGCAATGTCTTTTGGAGGGTAGAATTTCTTAATCTTTGCCCTTTCCTCTGTTGGATTTTTTGGTCTTCTTCTTTCTTGGTTTTTTAAGAGCTCTTATCTGTGATGTAATTGTATATATTTCCTTCTTGTTTTGATGTTTATCTTTCACTCTGCCTATGGGTAGTTCTTCAGAAGTGTATTCAGATTCCTCAATTTTTTTCCTTTTATTACCCCTAGTTCTGAGTCATAGAAAGAACCTCCCCACACTCAGGTTATAGGCATGCATGTACTTTCTGACCTAACTTGTACGGCTTGGTTCCTACATTTATATCTCAATCTGTGTGGGGTTATTTGGGAGCAGGGGTTGCAGCATGGATCCAATTTAAATGTTTTTCTTAAAAGCTTCCCAGTTGTCCCAACACCACTTGTTGAAAAAAAAAAAACAACTCTTTTTTGGAGAGGTTTGAGAGGCCCCTTCATCAGATGCTGTGTTTCTAGCTCTTCTTTTGGTCTGTTTGTCGATCTATTCATGGACCAGTACTGCTTTTTTTGTTTTAATTACAGTTGACATTCAATATTATTTTATTAGTTTCAGGTATACAGCATAGTAGTTAGACATTTACATAATTTCACAAAGTGATCCCCCAATAATTCTGGCACCCACCTAGCACCATTTATATTTATTACAGTATTATTGATGAGATGTGCTATGCTGTACTTTACGTTCCTGTGGCTAATTTGCAGCTACCAGTCTGTACCTCTTAACCACAGTACCATGCTGTTTTAACTGTGGAGGCATCACACACCTTGTAATATCTGGTGGATCTAGTTCAGAGTTCTTCCAGAAGTCTTTGCATATTTATTTTTCTGTGTGGACTTTAGAATCATCTTGTCCAGATCCAGAACAAATGATGCTTTTATTGAGATACTTTTCAACATTAATATGTTAACTAGGGAAGAATTGACATCTTCATGAGGTTGAGTTGTCCTGTCCAAGAACAAGGGCTGTCTTTTCTTTGGTCCAAGTGTGTTTTGTATCTTCATGCATGTTTTGGTTTTTCACACCAGCCAACCCCCTCCCCCAGCTGTGACTACAGGTCTAGGTGGTCCTCGAACTCGAAGGCTCAGAGAGGCTTTATCACCACCATGTTTAAACAGATTCTCTGCTGAAGACAAGACAGGCAGTTCTGTGGGTGACACGCTTCCTCCCTCTTGTACCCGGAAACGTGAGAGGGACCCTAGAGTCACAGAGAGCACTCAAAGGTCCAGAGGGCTAGTGGCGTCACTAGAACGGGATGAGTGAGACCAAGTTGGATAGCCAGGCTGTGTCAGAGCTCTCTCCAGCACATTCCCTGGTCATCGCTGCATGCCTTGTTCCTCCACCTCCCTCCCCTGAAAAGCAATTAGGCCTCACATTCTGGCTCCTCGAACTTTCTATCTCACTGCAAAGCTGCACCATCAGCCACAGCTAGTAGAAAGAGGTCAGGTATTCACTCCCTGGTCCCACCCCCAGCTTCATCAGGTCCATTCAGACAGTTTCAGCAAATAAGAATGTTCAGAGAACTGTCTGGTTAACCAATGTGTATCATCTTTTTCCCAGGTTTCTACAAGACCAAAATAGCTCAGCTTTCAAATTCTATCGAAAGAAGGTATTTGAACTGTGCCCATCAATTTGTTTTACATCACCTTCGCTGACCCTCCATGCCAGCGAGAGCGCCCTAGAGTCTGTGGAAGGGGAAGGAGAGCTTGCGAATGAGCCTCCTCACCAGGAGGTTGAGCTGGAGAGCCTAGAGGTGATGCCTGAGGAGGAGGAGGAGGAGGAGGAAGAGGAGGAGGAGGAGGAGGAAGAGGAAGAGGGAGAGGAGGAAGACGAGGAAGAGGAGGAGGAGGCCCTCACTCCTGGAGGGCCCTCCAGGGCTCTAGGAGAGGCTGCCACTTCTGAGGGTTCTGAGGGCAGCCCCCCCACTGATGGTCTTCCAAGCGAGGCAGCCGAGGATGGCCCTGCTGGCACATCTGCCCTGTCACAGGCCTGCTTTCCCCGGAAGAGGGTCAGCAGCAAGTCATTGAAGGTTGGCATGATTCCGGCTCCCAAGAGGCTGTGTCTCATCCAAGAGCCCAAAGGTGAGTGCCAGCATCGGCGCAGAGCCCTGCATAGTCTTCTGCTTAGCACTTGAAGAGGACTTAGTGGTACTTGGTTGTGGAACAGGTAGAGACATTGCCTGCCTGTTAACCAGCTGACCCCTCTTACCTTTCCACCTCTGATTCCACCTGCGTGCCTGGACATTACCTCCCAAATCCTCCTCAACATAGGGTTCTTTGGTTTTGTGTTTTTTACCCTAAAACAGTCCTAGTAGTTTTGTATACCACTGCCAGTGTGTGTGTGAAACTCACTTTTCCAGTTGGTCTAATGATAGCGCTCTAAAGAGACTCTGCCAAGTAGGCTTTGGCTTCTAGCATCCCACATGTTGCCCAGGGCCTCCCTTGTTGCTCAGATTCCAGCAGGTTAGCCCTGGCTGTGGGAGAACTGGCCTGGGTCATCTCAGCCGTTTCTTGCCCATGGCCTTGGGGGAAGGAGGGGTACCCAGCCTTCTGAGCCAAGGAAGGCCTGGGGTAGTGACACTTGCTTTGTGACCGTGAGGTGGGAGGACATGGGACGGGGCTGGTCTCATGCATCCATTAGCAGGAGCCATGTGCTCTGTGGAGGTCATCTCCTGCTCTCCTGTGTTAAGTTTCTTGAGGTACAATTTGCCAGCAATAAGATGCATCTCTTTTAAGTGGACAGTTTGAGGAGTTTTGGTAAATGTGTATAGGCATGAACCCACCAGTATAGTTGAGCTGGAGCCTGTCCCCAGAAAGTGTCTGCAGTCCCCTCTCCTACCCAGCCCCCAGCAACCACTGACTGTTTTCTGGCCTTGCCTTGTCTAGGCTCAGTAAGTGGAATTTTATTATTTGTGGCCTTTTGATGTGCTGGTCATGGCCCAGGCTGCTCCTCATGGCCCTACCCATCCAAGTGTCCTCACAGCCAAGCCTGGGCTGTGCTTCAAGTGTGGGACTGATGCTGCGATGCTTGTGTGTAAGGTGGCGGTGGTGGTAAACAGTGCCCTGTCATTTGTCACCTGTGTTGTTCTGTGTTATTGAGACATTTACCCCCAGCAGTGTTAATATAGCTTCCCACTAGCAGAACAGTCCCGTGGTTTGTGTTTGTTAATTTTGGCATTGCAGTGGATTGCTAGCTGTTCTGCTGAACTCTTACTGAGGTGGTGGTAGCATATCCGAATGCTTAAGTATGTCCTTCCTGGGGGGAAAGTGGAGTCCTTTCTATTTCGGAATCTCTCAGTTCTTGAATTGAGTGTTTGATGAGACAAAACAAGGCCTGCTGATCTCCCCTTCATCACCAAATAATAATAACAATAATAATATGATTTGGAGCTTTGTATAAGAAGCACAATTGTTTTTCCAGGAAAGTTCTGTGTGGACTTTAATTCTTTTCAATAGGATAATCACAATGATACTGGAAGGCATACATAGCATTGCACATAGTTCATTTGTGAAGCAAAGTGTAGTCCTGTAGTCATAGAACATGATCCACGTGTTTGGTCCTTCATCATAAACATGGGCATCTTATTTTTAAGGACGTTCTCCACAGCAAGGAGCCCTCAGTTGAGCCCCTGTGTTCAACCTCTGTGCTCCATAGTTACACAGTTCCTGAGAGGAGCCAAGCCAAGCAACTGGCCTTGTGCATGTCATAGCCACCTTCTGTCAGCAGAAGGCCTATTAGCCAAAATTGTAGAACCCTAATTTTTTCTCAGAAATATGGGGAAAGCACATATCCTATATAATAAAAGCCTAATATGCTAAGCGTCCAACCGCTCAACAAGTTGCTATGACATGCACTGACCACCAGGGGACAGACACTCCGACTGGTAGGTTAGCTTGCTGCTGGGATCCAGCCGTTCGGGACGGGGCGAGATGGACCACACACTCCCTAGAGCCCCTAGAGCCCTTCCGCAGCCTCTCCCCAGCCCTGATCATGCACTGGCAGGGTCCCTTGGCCTGGCCTGTAGGGATTGGCCAAAACTGGCTCTCCAACATCCTTGGAGGGGTCCTGGGTTGCAAGAGGGCAGTTCTGAGGTGAAGCACCCCAGAATCAGGCCCCCTTCTCTATGGTTCTGGGTGTCACCCAAGAACCGCCACTGCCAAGTGACCGCAGCTCAGCAGCTCCTACGTTGAGCATCTGCCCCCTGGTGGTCAGTGCACATCATAGCTATGGCCAGTTGCTTAGACATATATGCTATCTAATAAAAGAGAAACATGGTAATTAGCGTACGACCGCTACCCTTCCCATTGGTTAATCAGGGCAATATGCAAATTAACTGCCAGCCAAGATGGCGGCCGGCAGCCAGGCAGCTTAAAGTGAACATGAGGCTTGCTTGCTTCAGTGACGGAGGACTCCAATGTTCCCCGCCTGCCGCTGCAGGCCTCTGAGCTGCAACTCTAAGCAACTATGTTACAAATATAGAAGCTAAACAAAACCCCAGAAACCTGCTTTAGTCCTTCGGGCTTCAGCCAGCAGGATCGCAACATTGTTTCAAATACAGAAGGTAAACAAAGGCCAGAAACCTGCCTTCAGCAGCGGAGGCCTAAGAGCTGGAGCCAAGCCTCAAAGCTAAAGCTGGCCCAGAATAAAAAAAAAGAAAAAAAGGAGCGGTTGGGAGCTTCAGTCACTCGCCAGCCTGAAAACAGCCCTCAGCCCCTCACCCAGACTGGCCAGGCACCCCAGTGGGGACCCCACCCTGAAGGGTGTGTGACCAGCTGCAAACAGCCATCATCCCCTCACCCAGGCTGGCCAGGCACCCCAGTGGGGACCCCCACCCTGATCCAGGACACCCTTCAGGGCAAACCAGCCAGCCCCAATCCGTGCACCAGGCCTCTATCCTATATAGTAAAAGGGTAATATGCTTCCCAGCACCGGGATCAGCGGAGCTGAGAGGCCTCCCGGCACCAGGATCAGTGTGACAGGGGGCAGCGCCCAAACCCCCTGATCACCCTGTGGCTCTATGTGTGACAGGGGGCGGGGCCACAACCTCCCTATCCGCCCTGCTCTGTTCGTGACAGTGGAAGGCGCCCCAACCCCCTGATCAGCCCTGCTCTGTGGGTGATAGAAGGCGGCGCCCCAACCCCCACCCCACGGGCCCTGCTCTGTGTGTGATGGGGTAAAGCCATAACCTCCCCATCGGCCCTGCCCTGAGTGTGACAGTGGCGGCGCCCCAACCCCCTGATCGGCCCTGCTCTGTGGGTGATAGAGGGCGGCGCCCCAACCCCCTGATCCGCCCTGCTCTGCGTATGAGACGGAGCAGTGCCCCAACTCCCCTATCGGCCCTACTCTGTGAGTGACAGGGGGAGCTCCTCAACCCCCTGATCGGCCCTGCTCTGTGCGTGACAGGGGGGAGCTCCCAACCCCCTGATGGGCCCTGCTCTGTGCGTGACAGGGTACAGAGCCCCAACCCCCCTGATGGGCCCTGCTCTGCGCGTGACAGGGGGCAGTGCCCCAACCCCCTGATTGACCCTGCTCTGTGCGTGACGGGTGGCACCGCAACCTCCCCATCGACCCTGCCTTGAGTGTGACAGGGGGTGGTGCCCCAACCCCCCAATCGGCCCTACCCTGAGCGTGACTGAGGGTGGCATCACAACCTCCCGATCCCCCTGCTCTGTGCATGACAGGGGGCAGCGCCCCAACTCCCCAATCGGCCCTGCTCTGAGCCCGACGAGGGCCTGCACCTAGGGATTGGGCCTGCCCTCTGCCACCCGGGAGCAGGCCTAAGCCAACAGGTCGTTATCTCCCGAGGGGTCCCAGACTGCGAGAGGGCACAGGCCAGGCTGAGGGACCCCTCCTCCCCCCCGAGTGCACAAATTTTTGTGCACCGGGCCTCTAGTATATATAATAAAGAGCTAATATGCTAATGTGACTGAACAGCAGAATCACCGTCCAGACAGCCTTCCGGACAACCATCTGGATGACCTTCCAGATAAAACCCGGGCTGTGAGGGGCTGCGTGGGCCGAGCCCTTTGCATGAATTTCATGCATCGGGCCTCTAGTATATATTTCTTTTGTCTTCCAGTTCACGAACCAGTTCGTATCGCCTATGACAGGCCTCGGGGTCGTCCTGTGTCCAAAAAGAAGGTGAGTGTGACTCTGAGTCCTCGTGTGAATTTGTCATAGTCTCAAAGGACACTGAGGCTTGTGATTAAGCTGTACTTATGCTTCAGACTGGGTGTAAATGTACAAAGCACAACAAATGCCTTTTCTCTTCAGCAGCTTTTTAAAACAATCTATTTAGCTTTGACCAAAGCACAGAAGGGTAGTCCATTTAACAGGTAGTTGAGGCTTGATATGTGCAATGGAATGGAGAGATGAACAAGTAATGTCTCGGTCCTCAAGAGGTTCAAATTTAGTGGGCTGTAATGTGTTTTTTTGTATTTTATTTTTATTAATCCTCACCCAACATGCTTTAACTAGAAGAAAAGAGAGAGAGAGAGAGAGAGAGAGAGAGAGAGAAACATTGATCAGTTGCCTTCCGTACGTGCCCCGACCAGGGATTGAACCTGCAACTCAGGTATGTGCCCTGACCATCCATTCACCCCAGCTGTTCTTTTCTGGGCCTGGGAGAGCATGACAGGCACCCCTTGTCATGTCAGTGGCAGGTTCCATCTCCTCTGTTCTTAGGTCATTTCCTGATGGTAGCTGGTGCCCCCAGGGCTAGCAGCTGCTGGCCATCATTCCCCTGGCCTTCAGGCTGCACTATCCCTCCTGCACTGCTGTTTGTCCCTTCTTCCTGCCCCAGCCAACATCAAGCTCCTCCCTCCTTTGCATCCCTCCTTTAATGCCCTGCAGATGGACTTCGGTCCATCATCCTGTCAAGACCCCCTCACCTCCCGGCTCCCCCAGATTCAGTCAGTATCTCATGCACATGCTTACACACACACACACACACACACACACACACACACACACACACGCTCTGCTTAATACCTCAGAGTGTACTTCCCTTCCTGTCACTGAACTCTTAGTGACTGTCTAGGTTGTTCTGTCCCTTCTAGGTTGAGAACTGGGAAGGTGACCATGGCTTGATGGTGAGTTGAGGGGGGAGTCAGGGTGTCAGTGCTGGGCCATGCTGGAGACTCTCGTTCTGGGCATTTGCTGCACCCACATGTTGCACTCTACTCTTTCCTTAGAAACCCAAGGACTTTGACTTCACCCAGCAAAAGCTGACCGACAAGAACCTGGGGTTCCAGATGCTGCAGAAGATGGGCTGGAAGGAAGGCCACGGCCTGGGCTCCTGTGGGAAGGGCATCAGGGAGCCCGTTGGCATGTATGCATCAGGCACTTGGGGCTGGGGAGGGAGGGGAGGTGTTGTGCCTGTGCCTAGAAGAGGCTTCCTTTGGAATTCTGGTCCTAAGTCCTTCACCTGCAGCCGAATTCTTGTTCCCCTCATGGTGAACATGGTTTAAAGTTGGCAGTTTTTTGGTGTGTGTGTGGGTGGGGAGGTTGTTTTATTTTTTGTTTTTAGCGAAGGGAGTCTTCAGATGAGATGAGAAGCAGACATTTCCATAGGCAATTGTTCACCCTGCTCCTTGCTGTGCTTGTGCAGACTTTTTAAATGGCTTCTTGGCCCCTGGCATTTTGGCCACGTTGTCATAAAAGCTGAGTGGTGATTCTAGGTAGTTACACCAAGGAGCACATTTCCTTTTCTGGAAACCCATATGCAGCCCTGCCACGGGGCAAGCTGCTAATTGGTTAAGGCCAGCAGGCATTTATTTCATTGATAACTAAGTTTAGCACCCGTAGGGGGTAGGGGGATGGGGACGGGGACGGGCTTTCTGCTGTAATCCAGGCTCCTGAGCACCTGCACAGGTGAGTGCCCTGTTCCTGTGGGGATCCCATCTGCACTTTCCCTCTCCTTTGCCGCCACATACTTCTGTCCATTCTGATTGCTCAAGCCATTTCCAGTCTCTTGGTGGCCAGGTCTGGGTGCAGGTGTGGCTAACTCTCCGTTTTGCTCCTTAGGGGTACGGCCTCCGAAGGGGAGGGGTTGGGCGCCGAAGGGCAGGAGCACAAGGAAGACACGTTTGACGTCTTCCGTCAGAGGATGATGCAGATGTACAGACACAAACGGGCCAACAAATAGGTATGTGCATGAGCTGGAACGTTGGGCATCCTGCCTACGCTGGCATTTTGATATGCAGCGACAGTTCCTCCACAAAAGTTGGTGTTTCCCACACTCCAAAACCAGACCTCAAAATACAAAAAAAAAAAAAATCAAAAAATCTTTGAGGGAAACGAAAGGAGTCTTTGGATGCGGATGTTGTCCCCCCTCTCACCTTCCAGGTTTGGCTGAAGGAGTGAGTGCCTCACTGGCCAAGCACAGCTGCACGTGGCCTGCTTGCGGGGCCTCAGTTCGGGACTCCCAGGCTGCCACAGGAGCGGCCTGTGTCCCACAGTGTGAGAGTGACCTGGAAGCTGGCCGCAGAGGACCGTTTCCCTCTCTGAGGGTCTTCAAATCCTTTTCCTTCTGAAGGGCCTTAGCCCTATGAATATCCTCATCTTTCTCTTCTCTTTTTAGTTTCCCTCCCCACCCATAATATCCAACTCAGTTTTGAACAAAATTGTTCTCTCCTTAAATAGATGAAAACCATTGGTGAGAAAGATAAGCCTTGAAGCAACAATTATTCTAAAAACGCCACCTCTGCCCCGGATCCACCCTGGAGCCAGAGCCCAAGTCAGTTCGGTGTGTACATGAAAAACAAATGTCTCTGCAGTTTTTGGTGCAGAGATTCTGCTGGCTTTTCTTTTTCTTAAAGAAAAAAGAATGCACCACTTCCAATCTGCTTTTGCCTTTCCTCTTCTTCCAACTGCTTTGGGCAGCAAGTCCTCTCCGAGTCTTTCCTGGTTCCCACAGAAGGTGGTGCTGCCCTGGCACATTGCTGTCCAGAAGTGTTCTGTTAGCAAATTTGATGCTGAAATGATTACCAATTGTGTCTTCTTATTGTTTCCAGAATTTAAACGGGATCTAATCTGTACTCTGGCACCACAGCCTGTCGGTGGAGCACTGAAGCTCTGAACAAGTGGAGATACTTGATTCCATGAATGTGTTATTTATGGAGTCTCATCTCTTAAATGCATCCCAAGAGACTTAACAAAATATAGCAACGGTATAATACAGCTGGATTCAGAGGGGAGTAGGCACCTCACTGATGAAACTTTCCGCAAATTTTTAATTCTCTTTAGAATCCACAAAGAAAGCTACAGTTTGTGTTTTCTTTTTAAACCACATATGAAGTTGCCTCCAAAGCGGTGGGGATAAACTCTTCCAGACTCTTCATTTTTTGCACGTGTGGCAGCGGAAATAATGTTCTGTTAGGGCCCTTTCACAGAACAGGGAGGGTCTTCTCGGGGTGGACTCCACAGCTGTTTGCTCTTTCGAGGTGTGCGATTGCCACCCCTTCCCGCTTCTCCCTGTGCTTTGCAACTACATGTTAAATTCTCAGGCTGTGGTCATCTCAACCCTTCTTCCTAAAACAGCAGTGTTGAAGTTTTAAATATGTGCTAAAATCTAGATAACTTGGTCGTTCTGATAGTACATGCTTGAGGAACACAGCAGTGAGTTACCTTGTGTTGGCTGCCAAGAAATCCTTGCATTCTCAGAGCACAGACCTCCCAGTTATAGTCCTGCTTCTCTGGTTCTGTCTTACCTATGTCCGTCCTGCCGCTCACCATGGCATATCGCCTGCCTGGTGCCCTCTCTCTACATGTCAGGTATAGCCCCCAGATCTCTGCCTGCTTCTGATCACTTCTATTGCTTTGGCATCCAGCACATCTTTATGGCCATGGCAGTGCCGGCGGCCCTTCAGCAGAGGTGAACCAGCCTGCAAGGGTGGTGTGTTTTGGGAGAAGCACACCTGTGGAAGTTCATCTTCTCCTCTCTTTCCTGTCCTTTCATCAGCCTTCCATGTTGGCTGTGGGTTGGGCCACAAGATGAACTCTGAGAACAGGGCCTTGGTCACCCATGGTACCTGTTGGTCACACAGTACCCGTTGGCCTGAGTGAGACGTGCATCCCCCAGCACATTTCTCTTCCTCTTTGAGCATAGCTCTGAATGTCATATTCGCTCTGTCCTAGTGTGTTCATTCTTGGCTTTCTCCACTTTTATTCACAAGTGAAATGCTTTAGGAATTCCCAGGATGTGAGCCTTGTCCCCACAACCTCCTGTCACTCCTCCTCCTGGGGACATCCCCCTTTGAGCTCACACTGTGAAGCTTTGACAAGTATTAAAGGAAACACCTACTTCTTGAGCCTGCAAAGTCTTCTGAGCACTTAAGTGACGTTTCTCCTGTGGAGTCAACATTGAGGCGTTGCAGGTGCCAGGATGGAGTATGGTGGAGTGTCCTCTGCCAGCTGCTGGCCGGGGACCAGTGCGTGCTGGCCCTCTGCAATCTTGCTCTCGGCAAAGGATGCTCTGCAGGGAACTTGTGAATGTGTGTGCGGGTGTGTGGCCTTGTCAAAGTCACAGCGTCTTTTCTGTCATTCTAGTTCCAGGGTCTCTCCCGTGAGGACAACAGGCATCCGGAAAGGCTAACGCGCCACTTCGGGTGCTTACTGTCTCGGGCTTGTTTCCATCACTGGAAATCAAATAGAGAATTTTAGTGCTTTTGGTCCTTGGTAAAACCTAGAAGACGTTTGTGATGTTACAAAATGGAAGTTTTGTTTGTGTTTTTAATCTAAGAAGTTGTGAATGTTAATCACTTAGCAGTTGCAATAAATGTAGAGGAACCCGATCTTCCATGGTCTCCATTGATGTATTTATAAAATCAGGCCATTGGGGTACATGGTAGATGTGGTGCCTGCATGGAACCAGGTCATAAACACCCTGCCTCGGGGCATGTCCTCTGCCTGCCAGGGTGGGAGTCTGGTCAGTAACTGGGAAAGCCCAGAAGGTGTTGAGACAAGGGTAGGTAGTGATCAGGACCCAGTACACCGGGGAGCAGGCAGGCTCTCTTGGGGAGAGGGGAGTGCTAGGAATAGAAACCTACCTTTGAGAGGGTGTCGTGACTTGGGAGCCCTATCTTAGAAGCCCATGACTGCCCACCCCGCACCCTCCTACCTCCCCCATCCCCGCAAGGCCTTGCTGACTCCCAGGGTTGGGGTTCCAGCTGCCAGAGATAGACCAAGGTGCAGCTAGACCTCCCCCTGACCAAGAAGCCAACCTGTGGGTGTCTTCAAAGCTCCGTGCTGTTCCTATGTGCTGTCAGCCTGTATCTGATTCCTCTACCAGCTACCCCTGGCCCTTCAGGTTGTGGGGGGGAGAGCAAACATCACAGCAGGTGGATGAACATATGGGCCTGCAGGGGCTTTCACCTGAGCATGGCACAGGCAGGAGTCAGGCTTCGGACGTACCCAGGGCACCAGGGAAGTGGGGAAGGGTTGGGGAGGGGATCTGTCGGCAAATTAAAGGGGGACAGATGAGACAAGGCGCCTTAGGAAGCTGATGTGGGACCCCTGAGTCTTCCTTCTCCCCACTGTGTCTTGGAGGGCACTCAGGAGTGGTGAGGGCCCATTTGACAATGATGGGAGCTGCTGTCAGCCCAGAACCTCCCAGACATTTGCCTTCATCTTCACCAGAGCCTGGGAGGTGAGTGTGTGATACGGCCTTAGCGCCATGCCCTGAGAAAGTCACCCAAAACCTACAACCCCCACCCACTCTGGGAAGGCTGGCGGTGGGGGATGAGCAGCAATCAGAATTGCTCTCCAGTAGCCCCACCAGCTCCTTTTCACCAGCAGACTGGTGGTGACTTAGACAAGGACATATGGTATGGGGGTCTCCAGCCTGGGACATGGCCTGGGTTTTGACCTCAGGCTGGTCATTCCACCTCAGGCCTCAGTTTCCCCTCTGCCATCTGGGAAGGATTCCTTTCAGTTCAGAAGGTAACATTTCCTCTGCTACCTTGGAATTTAGGGCTAACTGGGACCTAAATATGCCACTCTTCTCCTCCCAGCTTCCCCTCCAGGAGGCCTCCTGAGTGCCCCAGGGCACCGTGAGAAGCTGAGCATGCTGCTGGAGAGGCTCTAATACTTAGTTTTGTTTGGGGGTTGGGGTTTTTTTTTCCATTTTCACATTTTTATTGGGGGCCATAGGGGAGAGGGCCTGTTAGTGGAGGTGCTCACAGTCACTCCAACTTGGACCCTAGGGGTCCTGGGGATGTCGGGCATGTTTCCATCATCTCCAACTAGCACTGGGTAGTTGTAGGGTGTAACCTGGCTGATCATGGCCCCGTGCTTGGTGCAAGGGTTGAAGGGGGCAGAATAATACCAAGGCCTCCAGTGGTGAAGAACTCAACCGGCGCCGGCTCCGTGGCCCAGGTGTTCTTGAGGAAGGCAGCAAGTCTCCCGGCCATCTCGGTCTTGGTGGCCTCCAATCTTCAGTTTTTAAAGCCTTTGTTGCCCTGACCAGGGAGCTCAGTTGGTTAGAGTGTCCTGATACGTCAAGGTTGGAGGTTCAATCCCATATCAGGGCACTTAACAAGAATCAATGAGCCCTAGCCAGTTTGGTTCAGTGGGAAGAGCATTCAGTCCCTGTGGACTGAAGGGCCCCAGGTTCAATTCCGATCAAGGGCACATACCTGGGTTGCGGGATCAATCCCCAGTGTGGGGCATGCCGGAGGCAGCCAATAAATGATTCTCTCATCATTGATGTTTCTATCTCTCTCTCCTCCCTTCCTCTCTGAAATCAATAAAAATATATTTTTTAAAAAAGGATCAATGAGACATCTGTAATACTGTCAACAATAAAAAATTTTTAAATTACATATGTAATCTATAATAATAAAAGCATAATATGCTAATTAGAACAAACTTCCTGATGAAGCCAAGGCTGCATTATCTAACAAATGTTCTAAAGGATTGGTCCCTATACCCTACAACACTGTAAATAAAGCCCTAGAAATGTCATTTCTGGGGCCAAAGGGCTCTCCCTCCATAGCATGCCTGTGCAGTCCAACTTGGGAGCAGGGGGTAGGGGATTGACCCTGTCAAAGCTCCTGTTTTTCCCAACTGTGCCTGCGTGGGACATCATGGGAGCCACAGACTCTGAGAAGCAGTCTACCACAACCACGGCCATGGTGGAATTTTCACTCTTTACCTCACACATTTCTGTGTGGTTTGACATCTTTGCTTCTATGATTTTAGAATGACAAAATATTGTGGATGATAAACTCAGCCTTGGGTTTGCTTTCAGAATCAACAGAGATGAGAGGTGTCAACTTCAGAGCCCATAGCACAGGCTATAAACTGACATCTTCTGATAGTCAGTGGCCTCTCTGTACATTAATCCTTGAATCCAGCAGAAGCCAGCCCATTTCCCAGTGGAGAAACTGAGGCCCAAGCCAGTCTGACTCCACACCTGTACTCTCAAGGATCTCCCATAGGTCTCATCTGGTTTTGAAGCACATGCACGCATGCAGCCCATGCTTGTGTACCTACAGTTATGCATGCACATAACAAACACGTATGCACAGGCTCAAAGACATACAGATATGAATACACAAACTTGTATAGACACACATGCAGACACAAAGATATGTGTGTGCACATGTATGCTCAAGGATATGCACACAGACACCTACACGTGTACACACATACATCTGTGCACATACACATGCACATACTCAAAGATACATGTGTGCACATGTAGGCTCGAAGACACCTGCACACAGACATGCACACACAGATGTGCAAACATGCACCTGCAGGCTCAAAGACACAGGCACACATGTAGACATGCATGCACATGCACACACGTCGTTCCTATTTCCCACCAACCCCATGCTCATAGCCCTGGGAACTGACTCTCAAAAATTGCGGCTCAGGTTGAAACGGCCCTGGTGAGGCTGGGACAGCCCCAGTGAGGTTGAAACGACCCTGGTGAGGTTGAAAAGGCCCTGGTGAGGTTGAGACGGCCCCTGTGAGGCTGGGACGGCCCCTGCGAGGCTGCAACGGCCCCTGGGAAGCCGAGAAAAATACCATATGATCTCACTCATTTATGGATAATAAAGACCATTATAAACTGATGAACAGCCGAAACCGGTTTGGCTCAGTGGATAGAGTGTCGGCCTACGGACTGAAGGGTCCCAGGTTCGATTCCGGTCAGGGGCATGTATCTGGGTTGCAGGCACATCCCCAGTGGGAGATGTGCAGGAGGCAGCTGATCGATGTTTCTCTCTAATCGATGTTTCTAACTCTCTATCTCTTTCCTTTCCTCTCTGTAAAAAATCAATAAAATATATATATAAAAAAATAAATAAATAAATAAAAAATAAACTGATGAACAAATATAGATACAAAGGCAGAGCAGCATTGAACAGACTGTCAAACTACAATGGGAAGCCTGGGGAGGGTTGGGGGTGGGGGTAAGAGATCAACTGAAGGACTTGTATGCATGCATATAAGAATAACCAATGGACACAAGACACTGGGGGGTAGGGGAGGCCGGGGGAATGTCAAGGGGGAGGGGGGAAGGAGACATGTGTAATACTCTTTGTAATACTTTAAGAAAAACAAAATTAAATTAAAAAAAAAAGTAAAAAAAAAAAAAAAGAATTGCGGCTCTGCCCTGGCCAGTTTGGCTCAGTGGATGGAGCATTGGTCTGCGGACTCAAGGGTCCCAGGTTCGATTCCGGTCAGGGGCATGTTTCTCTCTCATCAATGTTTCTAGCTCTCTACTTCTCTCTGTAAAAATCAATAAAATATATATTTTTTAAAGAATTGCAGCAATTTCTCTCCCGGGCTCCGAGATCCTAAAGTGCTGGGGTCCAACCCCAGAAGGTCCAGGGGTTCCCAAAGGTATGGACGGAGTCGGTGAAGAGGGAATGACACGGAAGACAGCGTTCAGTCGATCATCATGGTTGGGTTCTCTTGCCTGGTTCTATCCAGGATCTCCAGCCAGGTTCTGTCTCCAGCATCTCCTGCCAGGTTCTGTGTCCAGGTTCTCCAGCCAGGTTCTGGCCAGGTTCTCTTGTCATGTTCTATTGCTAGGTTCTGTAGCCAGGTTCTCCAGTCAGATTCTGTCTGCAGGTTCTCTAGCCAGGTTCTCCAGCCAAGTTCTGTCTAGGTTCTCTTGCCATGTTCTCTCGCTAGGTTTCTCCAGCCAGGTTCTGTCTTTATTGTCTTGTTACATCTGTATTTATACCAGTTGATTTTTATCCTATCAATTTCTATTCCAAAGGTTAGGGCGTTTCTTATCTCCATTCCAGGGAGTAAAGATTATGTAGCTTAAGGGCAATTGTTCCTAGTTAAAGTGATTAACTACCAGCCTGGCATTTAATTAAGGGGTTTTATTCCCTCCCTAACTTCAGGGGAAAATCCCTACCTGGAGAAACAACCTTTCTCAGAGAGGTGACCTTGGTTAAAACACATAGCGCCAAGAAGGTGAGCAAACATATTAAGAACAGTATGCCGTATACGCCAGGTCCCTTGAAACATGCTGTGCAGATGTTTCTTCCCTGCAGCCACTGTGTCAAGCAGCAAGGACGGCCCGGCTTCCGGCTCTAAAGAGCCCATGCATCTGCCTTCAGTGCCTTTCAGGCTTGAAATGTCTAACTCCCAGGTCTGGCCTCTTTCCCTCTAATCACATTCTTAGATTTAATCTTCTCCACCCAGGTGCTGAGCTAATCCCATCTTTCCCAGAGGAGACCCACCCTTTCCTCCTGGGAGGGACAGAAGTTGGAATCTCTCCCTTTGCCCTCTAGGATGGCACTGTCTCTACTCCAGCTTGTCTCCTTTTAAATCCCAAATTCACCCAGAGAAGAGTCTTTCCATCTCTCTTCTTTCCAAGAAAAAACACCCATCTTTACTTGGCCCTGGGTCATAAATAGGGTTCCACTAGGATGGCCCACCCCCACCCTGCCCAGCCCTGACCCTGCTTCTCATGGTGATTTTTACCTGACCTCCCTCAGAGAAGCCTTAGGGTCTGAAGGGCCACCCACATGCTCAATTGCCCACCCCTTGATCCCTGTGGAGATCATGATCTGCTATGTCTCCTGACATAAAACCTTACTTGATGCACAGACACATTTCATTTGTTTTCTTTGGGGATGACACCAAAGGTGTCAGCTGTGGGCGTTGGCTGTTTTAACTGTGGATACATTTGGATTAGTTAGTCTACTGTGGCCAAAGACCCTCAGCAACCACGATCTCAGGTTGTGCTTTTTCCTATTTAACATCAGGAAACCATTACACCTCCACTGTCTCACACTGAGGAAAGCAATCGGGGGCCATCAGTCAACCTCAGTCAATGTCTATGAAAGGAATCAGTGAGCCAGGCCTCAACCTTGTCCCTCCCTAACTTTCTCTCAATCCATTAATCTGGAGAGAGGAAATAATCCCAATAAGATTAACGGATGGAGACAATAAGATTAAGGGAGGTTTCTGATTGGATGTTATCATTTGAGAAGGTGTATAAAAACCTCAGGCACCAGAGGAGAGATTCAGAGTCCTCCAGCTCTGCAGTCAGTGCCCTGGGTCTTTCTCCACCAGGTCTGAGATCTGAGCCCCAGCCAACCCAGTCACAGCAGACATTTCTGCAGGACTCCTTCTGAGCCTTGAAGATGAGCATCCGGACCCCACTCACACTCCTGCGGCTGGCAGGAAGGAGCTTGCTGAGGGACCAGGCCTCAGCCATCGCAGCTCTGGAGTACCTTCCCGCAGAGCTCTTCCCGCAGTTCTTCATTCAGGCCTACTGTAGGAGAATCCCGGAGCCCCTGAAGGCGGTGGTGCACGCCTGGCCCTTCACTGTCCTCCCTCTGGGCTGCCTGTCACATCTGTCCCTGGATGAGGTCTTCAAAGCCGTGTTGGATGGGCTGGACGTTCTGCTTGCCCAGGAGGTTCGGCCCAGGAGGTGGAAACTGCAGGTGCTGGATTTAAGGAACACGGGAGCCAACTTCTGGAGAATGTGGTGTGAAGACAGCACCCAGAAGTGCTCACGGACAGGGCCAGTGGCTGTGCACAGCTCCAGTCCCGACATGCAGCACCCCTTGGCTCCCTTGGAGGTATTCCTAGACCTTAAATTCAATGAAAGGGACGGGGATGAGTTTCTCAAGTACATCATCCAATGGGCCAAGGAGAGGGAAGGGTTACTACACCTGTGCTGCAAGACGCTGAGGATTTCTGAGGTGCCCTTCCAGAGGGTCAGGAGGGTCCTGGATGGGGTGCAGCTGGACTGCATCCAGGAGGTGGAAGTGAACTGCACCTGGGACCTGCCCACCCTGGGGACGTTTGCTCTTTACCTGGGAGAGATGAGTAACCTGCAGAGACTCTCTTTCTCCCACATTCACGTGTTGACAGAGGAGGAGAATGGGGAGGAGGAGGAAGAGGAAGAAGAACAGGAGGAAGAGGAAGAGGAGGAAGAACAGGAGGAAGAGGAGCAGGAGTGGGAGGAGGAAGAAGATTGGGATAGGAAACAGCAGGAGGAGCAGCGATCCTTTTCCCAGTTCCTCTCTCAGATGCTCAGGCTGCGGCACCTTCGGGACCTCAACATGGCTTCTCCCTCCTTCCTCAGAGGCCGTCTGGACCAGATGCTCAGGTGCCTGCAGACCCCCTTGGACAAACTCTCCATAATAAATTGCCAGCGGCTGACGCATTCAGACCTGACACACCTGTTCCAGTGCCCGAACCTCAGGCAGCTGAAGTCCCTGCATCTGTTTGGCCTCAGGCTTGCGGATTTCAGTCTTGAGCCCCTCCTAGTTCTGCTGGAGGCAGTGGCACCCACCCTCGAGGACTTGGGCCTGGATCATTGTGGGATGGTGGACTCCCAGGTCGAGGCCGTCCTGCCTGTCCTGAGCCGCTGTCGCCAGCTCAGGGAATTCACCATGTCTGAGAACAACTTTTCCGTGGCCTCCGTGGAGAAGCTGCTGCGCCACACAGCCGGGCTGCGCAGTTTAGAGATCGAGCTGTACCCCGTCCCCCTGGAGTGTTACAGGATCCAAGGGACTGTCAACCAGGAGAGACTTGCCCTGATCCAGGCTGAGCTGACAAGGACCCTGAGGGAGTTAGGACAGCCCAGGAGCATCCTGCTTGCCACCAAGCACTGCAGTGAGTTTTATGACGTGGCATTTTCATGACATGGAGCCCGTGATGTGACCCTGCTCAGTGGGTGCACCCAGCAAAGGCTTCTTTCTGGGCCTTTGGAAGCTGAAACCTCGGACCAGGGTGCGTTAAGCAGGGGGCACCCGCGTTTCAGGTTCATGCTCAGCTTGAATGGGGAAAGGGAGGGACCAAGCCCGGGAACAGGATTGCAGGGGCCAAGGTTGGGGCGTTCCTGGGACCTCAGGGGGCAAGTGTCCTAGAATCAGAAATATGAATCTGATTTGCATGGGGAGCGGTGAGGGGTATTTGGGCTCCAGCTGCATGTGTGGGAGTTAATCCTGAGGCAGATGATTGTAAAGGAATGATCAGAAATAAAGACAATTTCAAAGGCCAAATAAATAAATAAATAATAAAAAAAAGAATTGCGGCTCCATGATGAATCTGGCACCAACCACTTCCCTCCGACCCCAGGAGGGGGACCTCACAAGTTGACCTTTTGCTTGATTTTTCTCCAGAGATTTCCCAGGTTGTCTTGGGAGCACAGTCTCACAGTTCCTGGAATTCCTGGTCCGGTAGTGAGTTTCCACTTGGAGATTTCAGCATTTATGTTTTGATGAGTTGCTTTTACCCAGAGAAAGCTCAGAGCAAAACAGAATTTGAGGGTTGGAGTCCTCAGCCTTTGCATGTGCTCACTGTGCTGTGTGACCTAGAGCAAGTGACCCACCTCTGTAGGCCTCAGTTTCCTCACTTGTGAAATGGGAGAATAGTAGCATCTACTGCCAGGATTTTGAGAATCGGTGCCAGCATTCCATGAAGCTCACAGGTGTCAGATGTTCCATTTCCACCATTCTGTGTCACTGGGAAGCTGTCACTGAGGTTTCCTATCAGCCCAATTGTCTTCCTAAAAATAAAGTTCCCAAGTCCTTACCTAAACACCGTGACACAATGGAAGGCCGCCATGGATGACCTTGCAAATTCATTTCACCTCTTAGAGCCTCAGTTTCCTTGTTTGTAGCATGAGGATGTTCTTCCTGTCCAGTGTCAGCTGAGAAGAGTGTATGTGACAGGGACTCAGAGGAAAGCCACACAGGGAAACAGTAAATACCCAGCAGCATCCCGTCACTGACAAGAGCCCGGGGAAGTGTCAGAATTGCTAACACCTGTGTGCTGGCTTCCATGAGGACCATCCAGCCTTTTAGTTTCTCTCTGATGTGAAACGCACATAACAAGATTCACCTTTTTTTTTTTCTTTTTGTATCCTCACCTGATGATCCCTTTTCCTTGCTTTTCAGAGAGTGTGAGGAGGAAGAGAGAGAGAGAGAGAGAGAGAGAGAGAGAGAGAGAGAGACATTGACTGGTTGCCTCCTACACACACCCTGACAGGGCAAGGAGCAAAACTGCAACCCAGATACATGCCCTTGACCAGGAATCGAACCTGAGACCCTTCGGTGCGAGGGCAGATGCTCCAACCACTGAGCACACTATCCAGGGCGAATTCCCCATTTTTTAAAGTGAACAATTCAGTGGCATTTAACACATTCACAATGTTGTACAACCAGTTCCTCTACCTACTTCCAGAACATTCCATCACCCAAAAAAGAGACTTCGCTCCCATAAGCAGTCACTTCCCATCCTCCCGCCCCAGCCCCTGACAAACACTACTCCCCTTTCTGTCTCTATGGATTTGCCTGTTCTGGGCATTTCATATAAATGGGGTCAGACAACATGTGGTCTTTTGTGTCTGGCTTCCTTTACTTGGCATGATGTTTCGAGGTCCATCATGTTGTAGCATGTTTCAGTGTTCCAGTCCTTTTCATGGCTGAGTAATATTCCACTGTGTGGATGGACCACATTTTGTTCATTCATTCATCTGTTGATGGGCATTTGGGTTGTTTTTACCTTTTGGTGATTGTGGATAGAGTTGCTCTAATTATGGTGCACAAGTTTTGGTTTTCTCCCCTGTTATAAATCCTCCTGGGTCTATACCTAAGAGTGGAATTACTGAATCATATGGTAACTCTGTGTTTTACCTTTTGAAGATCACCAAGCTACTTTCTACAGAGCTTGCACTAGGCTCCAGCCTTTTTTCACCCTAGCTGGACCGGTGCCTTTAAACACTGGTGCCCCTCTGCTCTGTGAGACAAACCATGGGAGTCAACCCAGGGTGTGAGTCCTGATGCCCACAGATGTGTCAGGAGCCTTGCTGTGCTGGTGAACCCCTGGGGCAAAGCAAATAGAGGGGAGGAAGGGAAAATGTGAGGGGACTTTGGATGTGAAACATGACGGAGCTTTGGAGAAAGGAGTTTGATCCAGGAGGATAAAAGCAAAGTAGGGTGTGGTTTTTGTAGAAATGTTGGAAAATGTAGACAGATGCCCAGATACAGGGACTTTCAGCTGTATTTGAGCAAAGAGAAGGCAGGTCTATCCAAAATGTCTGCCTGGGAAAAGGGGTGCTCTTCCTGCTCCTCCCCAGCCATGTGCCTCATTACACCGAGACAGCTCGCCAGTGCCGTTTAAAAAGAAAACCCATTGAAGAATATTCAAGGGAAGTGAAAATGAAGCACATGCTGGCGGCAATTGTCGGTCTTTGTTTCAGAGGCAGCTGTGGTCTTAGGAGAAAAAAGAAAAAAAAGCACCAGATTTGAATGGAGACTATTTCCTCCCAGATCCTGGCTCACAGGCTGCCATGAGTCCCTTCAGTGTCTCCCTGACCGTTTCTCAGTAGCCTCCACCCATCTATCTGTTGGTTCACTCATTCATTCACTGGGTGACCCTCCCTGAGAGGGGGAAGGGTCAGCCCTGTACACACCAAGATGCTGTTCCCAGAAGGAGCAGGAACAGACCCAAAATCAAGTCTTCACCTCTGAGCTATACACATCTTGCTTTTGACCAAGACATTCACCCCTTCAAACACCTCTGGCTTCACATCACCTTCCATCAGGCCTGGGGAGCACCTCTGGACCTGCCACTGAGTTCCACTCCTGCCCTCTCCGCTTCCCTCTGTAAGATGGGCCACAGGTAGAGAGCATCTTGCACTCAGCAAACAGAGGTCACGCTGGTTCTACAAAAAGCAAGATCCACATTAAAAGTGCAAAGAAGAGACTTTTCTGAGTGACAATGGGGTCCACGTTGGGAGAGGTGTCAGGCCCAGGAGTCAGGACTCCGCAGCAAAGGTACAGCGGGTACCAGGCGCTTAGGAACGGCTGGGGGCACAGCAGAGATAGACCATGTGGCTGTGGGCCCAGCACGGGGAGACCAGCCTCTGAAGCTGCATTCATCTTCCCAGGAAAGACACAATTCTCTTTCCCCTCAGCACCCCCACCCCCCACCGCACCCCCTCTTCCACCCTAGTTTCTTGTTTACCCATTCAGGGTCATGATTTATTTTCAGATGAGAGTGTTGTTCTCCTCACTCTCTGTGGCAGCCCGCCAGCGACATGTGCCGGCCACAGGGGAGAAGCGGCCAGATCGAGCCCGGCCTGAATGGGAGAAAGCAGGTCCTGGGGAAGGTCCTCGGTCAGGTCTGGCCTTGACCTTCTGTTATCCGCATGGGCACCAGCTAGGAGTGCAGGGGGCCCGAATGCTCCGATTTCTCCGTCCTCCTGAAGAACAGAGGGGCTGACATGCGGTTACAACACTGTCGTGGTGGTGGACAAGAACAATGTCCTGAAGCCGGGAGTCAGCCGGGAGTCAGCCTGGGTGAGCCCGGTGTGGTTCACGGTGGGCTTCGAAGGGCCCAAAAGCAAACACTCCTTCAGATCATGCAGACAAATGAGTATGCATTCATTTTAGTTTTTAAATTATGTTTATTTTATTGTTTATTAGATTTTATAAAGTTGAGTTCACTATCCGTTCCCAACTTCAATTTGGAAAACTCCTATTTCTCTCTAAAGTCAATGAACATGTCCTAGGGCGAGGATAAAAAATAAAAATGAATGAAAAATGATACAGGCTGCCCTGGCTGGTACGGCTCAGTTGGTTGAGCATTGTCCCGTGCACCAAAATATTCCCTGTCAGGTTGTGCATGTGTATGGGAGGCAACTGATCGATGTTTCTTTCTCCCTTTCCCTGTCCCTCTCCCTGTCCCTGTCCCTGTCCCTGTCCCTCTCCCTGTCCACTCCCTGTCCCTCTTCCTCTCTTTCTCCCTCTCCCTCTCCCTTCCTTTCTCTCTAAAATCGATTAAAAAGAAAAGTGATACAGGCTGCACATGGATGAATCTTAACAACACGATGTTGAACGAAAGAAGCCAGACATAAAATAAAATAGCACATATTATATGGTTCCATTTATATGAAATGCCACAAATAGGCCAATCAACAGAGACAGAAAGTACATTAGTGACTGATACAAGGTAGGGGGAGAGGAGAATGAGAAGTGATTGCTAATTAGTGGGAAGTTTCTTTTCGGGGGTGGGGGACGGTGATGAATATTTTCCGGAATTAGATAGTGGTGATGGTTGTACAACTTTGTGAATATACTAAAAACCCATTCAATTGAACTTTAAAAGGATGGACGTTAGCCCTAGCTGGTTTGGCTCAGTAGATAGAGCGTCGACCTGTGGATTGGTCCTGGGTTTGATTCCATCAAGGGCACATGCCCGGGTTGCAGGCTTGATCCCCAGTGGGGGACGTGCAGGAGGCAGCCAATTAATGATTCTCTCTCATCATTGATGTTTCTATCTCTCCCTCTCCCTCTCTGAAATAAATTTTAAAAAATATAAATAATAATAATAAATAAAACTGCTGAAAAAATGAGTGAAGAGATCTGGGGTACCCTTTACTCCACTTCCACCCGTGGGAACACCTGCATGAATATAGTACATTATTACAACCAGAAAATTGAGAGCAATACAATGGACAGACTTTATTTAGATTTTTCATGTGAGTGCCTCATAGAATTTTAAAGAAAGAATAATAATAATGGCAGTAGCCGTTTGAGTGCCAGCTGCACAACAGGCTTACTGGGACCCCATCTCACAACAGCTCTGGGAGGTGAGGACCATCTCCCAGAAGAGGCTCAGAGTAAGAAAGTCTTTACCCAACACTGAATTTTTGTGGGTGGTGTGAGGTAGGGACCATGTGTTTTGTTCCACATGGAATCTGGTAGCTCCCGAACAATTTCTTGAAAAGCGTTCCTATGTCCAGGCTCATACAGGAAACCGGAGATTCCAATCCAGAAACAGCTGACTCAACTGGGAACCGTCTCCACATCCCGTGTGGGCCTGAGTCCAGCAAGCATTGCCTTGTCAGCACGATGCAGTGACTTTTAAGAGCGTTTGTCAGAGGAAGCAGGGCGGGGAGGTGCAGGCCAGCTCGAACTTGCTTCCTTCCCACAGAATGCTGAAACGTCTCACTCAGCCTTCTGCCCACCCAGCCCCGCCTCTTTTAA